CATGTCCCACATTTATCTCACAACTTATTATCTGTCTCCAATTTAACTAATGACAATTCAGTCTCCATAAATTTTGATCCTAATGGGTTTGAAATAAAGGATCTCAAGGATCGCCGTCCAATTCTTCGTGGACGTCTTCGTAATGGGCTATATCAGCTCCGGCATTCTGCATCACCGACCAGCAAAGCCCTTCACGCCAACCACAATAACGTGCAGATTTGGCACGCCCGTCTCGGGCATCTTCACCACCAATCCTTCGGGTTTTACATAAACAAATTCCTGATATGAATAAAGTTCCCAATTCTTTTGTTCTGCAAATCCTGTATTATTGCTAAGTGTCACAAGATTCCGTTTAAACAAAATAGTTCTGTTTCTGCTCTTCCATTTGATCTTATATATGCGGATGTTTGGGGACCTACCCCCGTTAAATCGTTGGATGGATTTCGCTATTACGTGATTTTTATAGAAGACTGCACTTTATTTTCGTGGATATATCTCATGCATACGAAACAAGAAATGTTTTCTAAATTTAAATTGTTTTGTCAACTTATTACCACGCAATTTAACAAGACTCCGAAAGCCTTCCGCTCCGATGGCGGAGGTGAATTCATCAGCAATAAATTCAACAATTACCTGCAAATTCGAGGAATCCAACGTCAATTGAGCTGCTCGCACACGCCAGAACAGAACAGCTTGGCTGAACGTATGCGCATGCACTTATTCGACCTCACCAGAACCCTTCTACATGCCTCGAATCTCACCACAAACTTCTGGGCTGAGGCTCTATCTACCGCAAATTACCTCATCAACCGGCTCCCCTCAACCTCAATTCTCATGCAAACTCCGTTTTACCGCTTACACGGTTGCTCACCCACATACACTCACCTTCGCACATTCGGTTGCCAATGCTTTCCTTGGTTTAAACCATATGCTGAAAACAAATTATCGCCACGGTCGCAAGAATTTATCTTTATTGGATACTCACCCATTCACAAAGGTTATAAGTGCCTAGATCTTACCTCAAACAAAATCAATATTTCTCGTCATGTTACCTTTAATGAGAATCACTTCCCCTTCAAAGCTTCTAACCCGTCGCATTCTCCTCAGAATTCACCTACTGTCATACGTCTCACCACTATTACTTGTTCCCAACTCTCTCTGTTCTACTACATCTCTGCCTGTCATTCCTTCGATCACTTACAATCCGGCTCCCATTTCCCACACCGATAATCCCAACTCCAGTACCAACCCAACTCCAATTCAGCCTATCACTTCGCCGCCTGACTCCACGTATCACTCTCCTCTTCGGCCATCTCACCCTATGCAGGCTCGACTCAAATCGGGCATCACCAAAACCAAAAACATCTTATCACTCACTAGCACCACCACCAACCATACCACCCCAATTACCTATGCTCAAGCCTCCAAACAACCGCATTGGTGTCAAGCCATGGCAGAAGAATATAATGCTCTATAGAATCAAGGCACGTGGAAGCTAGTACCCGCTCCAACAGACAAACCAATCCTCGGCTGCAAATGGACCTTCCGCACAAAATTACTTCCAAATGGGAACGTGGACATGTATAAAGCTCGTCTCGTGGCACAGGGTTACGATCAGCAATTCGGCATCAACTACAATGAAACCTTTAGCCCGGTTGCTAAGATGCCAACCATCCGCATCCTTCTTACCCTTGCACTCCACCGAGACTGGACAATCCTCCAACTTGACGTCTCCAATGCCTTTCTACATGGAGACCTCTCCGAAGATATCTATATGCGACAACCAACGGGCTTCATCGATATTCAGTCACCGGACTCCGTCTGTAAACTACAAAAACCACTATACGGTCTCAAACAGGCTCCAAGGCAATGGTTCGAAAAATTCACTAGCTTTCTACAAAACAAAGGGTTCAGGTTTAGTCGCTCCGACCCATCCCTTCTACTCTATTGTCATAACAATATCAAAATGTAACTACTGATTTATGTGGATGATATACTCCTTATATGAAACAATGCCGCCGCCATCAACATCTTGCTCTCCAAATTACATTCACAATTTTCCCTTAAGCAGCTTGGTCAAATTTCACTATTCCTAGGCATTCAAGTCCTTCGGCAACCCTCAGGTCTCTTCCTCACACAACGGCACTATGCAGAGAAACTACTTCAGGATTCAGGACTCAATGAGTGCAAATCGGCTCCTACTCCAAGCACACCCAAATCCAAATCAACGGGCACCGATCAGCAGCTGTTCCAGGATCCCACCCTGTATAGGCGCATCGCAGGATCCTTCCAATACCTCTCAATCACTTGTCCGGACATCACTTTCGCCACGAACCAAATCTACCAACATATGCACAAGCCTACTATACAAGACTACCAAGCCTTGAAGCGCCTACTCCGCTACATCAAAGGCACTCTAGCCTTCAGTCTTCCCATCACCTCTGGCAACCTAGACCTTCAAACCTACACCGACGTCGATTGGGCTTCGGACGACTCCGATCGAAAGTCGATCTCCAGATTCTGTACCTTCCTCGGTCCAACACTCATTTCATGGACGGTCAAAAAGCAAGCAACATTAGCGAAGTCCTCCACCGAAGTTGAGTACAAATCCCTCTCCGCAACCACCTTCAATGTTGTTTGGCTACGTCGCCTCGTCACCGAGCTTGACATTCTGCAAATAGCTCCTACAATCATTCACTGCGACAACACATCGGCAATTTCTCTTGCCAAACCCAGTGTTCCACGCCAGAACCAAACACATTGAGATCGACTATCAGTTCATCCAACAACACATTGGCTCTGATGACATCTCCATCAATCATATTCCCTCAACAAATCAGATTGCGGATATACTTACCAAGTCCTTTTCTCCAGCACGCTTCCATGACCTTCGTCGCAAATTAACCATTCACAACGCGAATGCTTAATTTGAGGGAGGTTGTAAGCTAGCAGCTGTAAACACTGTTTAATTACAGCTTTACCTTTATTCCTTTTCTATTTAAAGGCTTTGTTGCCTCATGTATAGACAATCTTGATTCAATACATTTCTTTATTTTTCTCTCTGTTTGGTCCCATGCCTATACCGTCCTTCTTCTCTTACACCCTCCACCTACGGGGCTAGTTGCTGATAGGCTTGCCGAGGAATTAGTTACGCCGCCATATGCCGCCTAATGGGGTGGAAGTAGGTAAATACCCCTGTTCAAAAAAAAAAAAGTTTATTATTGTAATGTTTGAGCATTTGAGAGTTTTAGAATACACATATTAGATCTTTTTGGTGTATTTTGAATTTTCCCAAATAGCAAAATGTGAATGCATGAGCTCGTGTTGCATATCCCTATAAACCTTCACAAACTACGCAGAATCATTGTGATCGTGATCCCACTTGTGTCAGGATCACACCACATCACGATTTGGTTCATTGATTTCTTACCACGATCTCGACCTGTGTCAACCCCAACCGATGTAGACCCTAATCACAATAAACCACAATATTTAGAAGATATTGAACTTTTTTATCAAAATGAATTTTGAAATTATTAATTTTATTTTTTTAAATAATATAAATTTTGATTTATGCATCATAAATTACATTTATTTTAAAGTAAAATTAATTATTTTGATATTTATTATTATCCAAATTTAGACTTTATTTATGATGGTTTTATTACTTCTTATTTTTCTTTCAAAATATATTTTGTACAAAAAGTTAAGTTCTACAATAATTATTAATAATTATTTTTTCTATAACAATTTTATAAAGTCTTAAGAAAGCTATCCCTCATAAAACTTCAATTAGAATATCCTCACTCTTTTTTCTTTTTTTTTTAATATTTAGAAAATATATATCTACATCCCCGGAAATAAAAAAAAATATCAATCTTTTTCATTCTCAAAGCAAAAAAAGCAGCTTTAAAAAAAACAAAAAAAGAAAGAAACATATGCTACGTAAAGAAGCATTGAAAAGCCAAACCGGTTTGTTTTTTGCATACTTTAATCTTAGTGGACCAGTGGTTGGGCATGGATTTCATATGAACGAGCTCGGTCAACATTTAAAATATTGACTCGAGTCAAATTAATATTTATTGATTTCCGATTTTTTTGATTTTATAAATTACAGAGCTCAATTTTTATTTTACAATTACCTTTTTTTTTTTTATATAAAAATATGTTATAATCTTATATTTATATCTCTTGTTATGTTTTATAATCAACGTCACCCCATACACACTGGTTACATAGCATTTACATAGCAAAAAGGTAACGTGGCACTCTTTGACTCGACCCCGGATAACATCCAGTGTCCGCCACCAAAGTAATTTTTCTATCTATGAGCTTACGCGGAAAGCTCAGAGTTTGGAAGAAATTTTTCAGGGTTTTATAATGGAAGCAAAACACATTGAGTTACGCTAGGCTTAACCGTGGAGCCCACAATTGATTCCAATTGGGAGATCGGAGGTAGTAGCCCCACAATATAAATTATATTTATGTTTTGTGTGGCATATGAGAATTTGATCAATTAAGGTTAAATTATACCATATGTATAAATAGTTCAACTTTGAAATCAAAATCTCTTTAAATTGATAGTCAAAGCTTCAAACCAATAGGTCAAAATAAACTGAGTTATTAATATATGTTACTCTATCATATGATATTTTAGGACATAATTCAATCTTGTATAATTATAATTTTTTATTTTATTCATGTTGTTAACCATTTTTTAATAATATTTATACATATCAAAAATAATTCTTATAAAAAAGCTATTATTAAAATATATTCATCAATAAATAAATTAATATTAAAATTTTTTATGTAGTTTTGAGTTTAATTTTATTTTAATTAAATCTTTTTTATGTGCATACATTTGCCTATTTTATAATAATTATAACAGTAAATTTAGCAGTTAGTTCGAGAATCACGTTTGGAATTACAGGCCAAGTGCTGTGGCAAGACATCTGACAGTCGACCATTATCTCTTGTCCTGATTCCTTCCTCAGGCACCTTTCATCAAAATCACTGCTCTCTGTGATTCATAACCTCCATTGCTCACAATTCTACTCTTCCTTCCGGAGTCATTTGAGAATTCCTCTCCAAACAGAACATCTCCACATGATTATAATCAATAGAAGTTTGCCTCACAACGCTTCTTCTGCTTCTGAAATGGACTCGTTGGACCAGCTTTAGCTTAGCTCCAAAACAAAAAGCTTTCCTGTACCTCCAATCTCTCGCCTTTTGTCATTTTTACACTGCCGTGAGTTTTGTTTTCCGTTCACTTTTTCACCTTAAACTCACATTCTTTCGGGCCTCAACAATGTATGACCTCATTTCTGTTTTAAGGTTGATGGGTTCTGTAGCACCCGCCTTTGGGTGTCAATGGTTCTTTTCCTTTGTAGTTCCTTGAAGTATTTCCATCCAATTTAAGCAGAAGAGATTAATGGGCATTATATTGTTTTGAAAGCTTTCTTTATTACAGTTTGAGGTCTGCTTTGCTTATTCTCTTCCAATGGGCGAAAGTCTGGGATGTTCTTATTTCTATTAGTAGTTTTAGCTTCTTTTCCGCTATCTTCACGATCGCCTAACCAAAGATTTGCTGTTGGCGTTAGGGTTTTCAGGATCAAGGTCGCTTGCTTCGTAGTTTTTTAATAAGGTGGGTTTCAGTTGGGTATTTCTCCCAATTAAATATTGGTTTTTTGCTACTTTTGTTTTTTTTTAATTTTTGTTTGCTGAGAGGGAGTTTAATGATCTGTTGTAGTTTAATAAACTTCCTTGTCTCTGATCCATTTATTATGGTGGCTACAGTTCTTATTTAATAATTTAATTTTCTTTGCAGAGATTACAGCATGAAACTGGTTTTGCTTGTATTTCTTTTCATCTGTTTTGACATCTTAGCAATTGGAGTCTGCAAGAGCAACTCTTCGAGACCTGATACTGTGAAAATAGGAGCTATTTTAACTTTCAACTCAAGCATTGGGAGGGTTGCTAAGGTTGCCATTGATGCTGCAGTGAATGATGTTAACTCTGATCCAAATGTTCTTCGAGGGACAAGACTAGTTGTTCATCAACAAGACTCATATTGTAATGGATTCATTGCCATCGTGGAAGGTATGAATCCCACATTTCTTCAAGCAATCAATTTATACAGATTGTAATTTAAGTTTTTATTTTTTGTTCTTATGAGACTGAATGTTGCCAACAGCTTTGCAGTTCATGGAGACTGATATTGTTGCAATAATTGGCCCACAGTCCTCTGTGGTTGCTCATGTTATTACTCATGTGGCAAATGAGCTCAAAGTGCCACTGCTTTCATTTTCAGCCACGGATCCGACGCTTTCTTCTCTTCAATATCCATTCTTTGTTAGGACAACACAAAGTGATGCATTTCAAATGGCTGCTGTGGCTGAATTGGTTGATTATTTTCAGTGGAGGCAGGTTATTGTCATCTTTATAGATGATGATTATGGAAGAAATGGTGTAGCTGCCTTGAGTGATAAGCTCGCAGAAAAGCGTGCTAAGATCTCCTACAAAGCCGCATTGCCATCGGAGCCTGATAGGAGTGACATCTCTGATTTGCTTGTGAGGGTTGCTCTAATGGAGTCACGCGTAATTGTTCTTCATGCGAATCCAGATTCCGGTCTCAAAGTTTTGAAAGAGGCTCATTATCTTGGAATGACCATAACAGGATATGCTTGGATAGCAACAGACTGGCTTTCTTCTCTTTTAGATTCACATTCTCCTCTAGATTCTGAAATCATGGACACCATGCAAGGTGTGATTTCCCTACGACAACACACCGCTGACACCAAGAGGAAAAAAAGTCTCCTCTCAAAGTGGAGCAAATTTAAAATGGATGATAATGATATAAATTTTGGACTCAATTCATATGGCCTATGTGCTTATGATTCAGTCTGGATGGTTGCACATGCATTGGATGCTTTTTTTGATGATGGTGGAGCCATTGAATTTTATAATGATTCAAGATTGCAAGTTGCTGATGGTGGAACACTAAATCTGGAAGCATTAAGTGTTTTTGGTAAGGGAAATCTTTTGCTGAGGAAGATTCAAAGTACAGTTTTTGATGGTGTTACAGGCCCTTTCGAGCTCGATTTTGATGGAAATCTTATTCATCCTGCTTATGATATCCTTAATATTGTGGGAACTGGCTCAAGGAGCATAGGGTACTGGTCCAACTATTCTGGTTTGTCTACTGAGACTCCTGAAATACTATATCTGAAGCCACCAAATCTTTCCAGTATAAATCAAAAACTTTATGATGTTATATGGCCGGTCAGACTACAACAAACCACCGGTGGGTGGGTGTTCCTAAATATGTCAGGCACGGTGAGAATTGGAGTGCCCAACAGATTTAGTTACCCAGAATTTGTCTCAGAGGGGAAAGGTTCTGACACAATGAAGGGTTACTGCATAGATGTTTTCACTGCTGCAGTAAATCTTTTGCCTTACCCTATTGGTACAGATCTCATACTTGGGAATGGACTTGTCAATCCAAATTACACAGAGCTTGTTGAGAAAGTTTCGTCAAATGTGAGTATGGAACTGCAAATAGTTGAATAGCATGAATTCTGAAGACAAAAACTAAGTTTGATTTTGTTATTATGGCTTTCTTCTTATAGGATTATTTGACGCTGCTGAGTGGGGACATAGCGATTAATACAGATAGGACAAGGATTGCTGATTTCACGCAGCCTTTTATTGAATCTGGGCTTGTCATACTAACTACTGTTAAGGAACATGACTCGAGTGCTTGGGCTTTCTTACAGCCATTTACTTTGGAGATGTGGTGTGTTACAGGATTATTTTTCCTCTTTGTAGGAGCTGTGATATGGATACTAGAGCATAGAATCAATGATGAATTTCGTGGCCCTCCGAGGAAACAACTAGTCACCATTTTCTGGTATGTTTGGACAAGAAAAACATCTTTTTACTACTCGGTAACCATTCAATTTAATAGAATTTTCATTGAACTTGTATAAACACATATTTAGAATTACTATATGTTAGATCATATTGTAGTAACCCGAAATTTCATAAAATGTATTTGAAAATATGAAAATCTGTATTGTAGCGCTATGGCATTGATATCAGAGTGCAGCGGCTCCATGCTCTTTGTTCTATACTAATTTTGGATTCAGCATGCACAACAATGACGTTGTGGTTTGTGGTGCTGCGGCTCCAGACACTATATATAATATATCCCGCACCACCTAAACCATCCTCCCTCTCATTTCACTGCCTTGCCGGGGCAGAAAAGAAACAAAAGGAGAAGAAGAGGGGAGGGGAGAGAGAAAGTCTTTCAAGGCTTTTTTTGTTTGTTGCTTCTGTTACAAAAATTATTCTGATTGTAGTAAGTAACCTTTACTCTATATCTATTTTCAATGATTTTGAATTTAATATATTTCTCTCTCCTGAAATTGATAAAATTACGAAAATTATCAGCTTCTTAGCTTGTTCTGTCTAAGGTTCTTTTAGGTTCCTACATTGATTATTAACTTCCCAATTAATTAAATGACAGGCACTACAGTTTGCCTGCATGTATGTCCCAGATGGTGAGAAACTTTATAGGGAATTCATAGAGAAGTTTCCGGGAGAAATACATTGTATGACAAATGTGAAAAAACAACAAGGAGTAGAAATTAAGAATTCTTATATATTGTTAGCCAAGCCCGAGTTATTTAAATGGAATTTTTTTTTAGAAACCAATTCAGTTGCTTTGGTGGGTGTGATAAAGATTGAAAAGCATCCTTACTCTATCAGTTTGATTATAAGTGTAGCTTCAAGAAATGGCAGATCGGAGAAACTAACCTAATTATGAGCAACCATGCATAAAAACTTCAACTTGTGTGCTTTCTGTTATCAAGCATAATTTCTCTTGTTCTGAGTTGAACCCTAAGGCCATGGTGTACAGATACTCTTAGTGTTAGATATTGGTTCAAGATTTAAGTAGTTTCTCCATACTTACTTTCTTTAGTTAGGTTTCTTTGTAGCCTTTCATGATGCTTTGATTAGGATCTTGTGTAGCCCTTTAAGCTACCATTTAGTGTCTATAAATAGACAAAATAAGTTTGTAACATGTCCTTCGAATTTATTAGGTCTTTACCTTTAACTTTTAGTCATCATTATAATTAGGCTTATCCCAATTATTTGGGGTTGGTTTCATAAATCCTTATTTTTTATTCGTTCCTGTTGAGTGTTATCTTAGGTTTAATCTATTCTTTTGTCTATGTCAATTTGGGCTTATAACTTTTCTTTTAATTCACTGAAGCTAATTTTATCTACTCGCTTAATGATGCTTTCTCTTGTCATCCAAATCTATTTTCATCTTCTATAGACATCACTCCAATTATCCATCTAACATAATCATTCATAATTTTACTACAAATCCATTTTAACATCTTCGCTTCTGTCACACATAGAACATGTATGATGTGCATCCAACATTGTTGGAGCTTGATAAATTACTTTCTAATGGCTTTATTTAACATTTGAAACGGAGGAGATAAGCTGGTTCCCATAAGGGTACTTTGCTTAATTTAAATTGTTTTTTTATTTTTTATTTTTCAATGTGATAGAAGTTTCCATCCTTCTGAAGCATGCATGTTTTTCTCACTAGTACTTGAAAGTTAAATTATCTTTGAATTAAAATGATTTACATCATCTGACATGCTCAAGTATTTTTGAATGCAGGTTCAGCTTCTCAACTTTGTTTTTGGCCCATAGTGAGTTGGCATTGCGGATTGTTTTTAATATGTTATCTTCAATTTAAAAAATTGTGCCAAAGCCATGCTGACTAGAATTTTTTTTAAAAAATGTTTCAGAAGAACCAACGGTCAGTACTTTAGGTCGCTTTGTTCTCATAATATGGCTGTTCGTGGTTTTAATAGTTCAATCTAGCTATACTGCCAGCTTGACTTCAATCCTGACTGTTCGGCAACTCACATCACCTATAACTGGGATTGATAGCTTAATAAATAGCAACGATCCCATTGGTTATCAGGTTGGTTCATTTGCTGGAAAGTATCTAGTTGAAGAACTTAGAATATCAAGTTCTAGATTGAAAGTTCTTCACAACCCAGATGAATATGCTGCAGCACTTAAACTTGGACCAGACAATGGAGGTGTTGCAGCTGTATTGGATGAGCGTCCTTATGTTGAACTATTTTTGTCAACCAAGTGCAGTTTTGCTATGGTTGGCGCAGAATTCACTAGAGGCGGTTGGGGCTTTGTGAGTTATCTTTTCAGAACTAAATACATATACACCTTCCATATGTGCCTTCACATCTTGATCATTCATACCTACAATGAGCTGCACAAACCCGCATGCACCAATATATCTGCAGTCTTTCAACAAGAGTAAAACTGATTATGGGCCGCTGATGATGTTGTTCTTGATTTAGGCTTTGTTTGGGACGGATTTCTTATTGCTTCTTAAAGTAGCTTTTTTGTACAAAAATTTTAATTTTTGTTTTAAGAAGCAGTAAGAAAGTCATCCCAAACAAACCCTTAGTCCCTCCATCTCTCAAAACTGCCTTTGAATTGATTGTTTTCTCCTTGAATTCTGTCAGTTGAATAAGAGAGTATTGAACTAGCTTTAGAGAGAGAATTGCAGAGAAAAAACAGTGGTAGGATTGGATTTGTGAGAACCTAGTGAATTGGCCCTCAGTACTCCTAGGGAACTAAAATTTTGGTGTGATTGATAAGGAGGCAAAAACCAATAAGTGCTAATTCGGGAAGAAGGGGAATCCTGAGAAGAGGATTTCTCGTTCTTTAAAAGGTGTGAGAGAGGAGGTGGGACATTAAGAGGAATAACTTTGTTGAGATTGTAAAAATTCCTCTTTCAGCAAGCCCATTTTGAGACAATGCATGCATCTCAAAGCAATTTAAAAGTATTGGGTCTTGTACATAATCTTACTTTTTTTTTTATATACATAATCTTACTTGATTCACCCTAATTGATGACTAAACAAACTCAGAATGGTATGTCAACTCCAAATAAGACTCCATGAGTTGCATTAAGTCTACCACACTTTAATCTCTTGAATATGATCCATAATGCCTTGATTCACTTGACCTTGGCTTGGCCTTTCTTTTTATGTGTTCAACTATATGTTGTAGTGTTGACCTCTGTATCGAGAAAACAAAAGAAAATATATATATATATAAAATCCTACCTACCCGTCCGGCCACGAACCCGTCGTCAATACGACGTGCTACGCACAGTTTACGCACGACTCGATGTCACCTCACACACGATCCCTCTCGGCGTTAAAGAAGAGACCGAAGCCGCTTCTTCGGCCTCTACACGGTGGTCCGACTTTCCTCCTGCGATTTTCCTTCCCTGTCCGAGCGAAAGTCACCACAGTTTGATCGGAAGCAACAATCGGGGCTCGCTTGCTGTGGAGGACCGAAAATTACGACATTTTGATCGAAAGTAACGAACGGGAGTTCGCTGGCTGTCAAGGGATCGGAAGCAAGATCGGGAGCTCGCCTGTGAAGGTAACTCTCTCCCCGTCAAGCGCTTCTCTGGCTCTTCTGTGGTCGATCGACTTGTCTCCCTCGACGACATTCCTTCCCGTCGGTCCAAAAGTTACTACAGTTTGATCGGAAGCAAAACAGGAGCTCGTTTGCTGTGGAAGTTAACTTTCTCCCTTCTGCCACTTCTCCGCATCCTTCGTGGCTTGTTCAACTTCGCCCTTCGACGGCTTGCCCTCCCTGCCGAATCGGAAGTCACAACATTTGGATCGGAAGTTGCAAACGGGAGCTTGCTCGGTGTGATCCCCCGTGGCCGCTCGACTTTGCTCCCACCGAGTGGTTTTGCCGCCAAATGGCACCACGATATACCGGTTTTGGCCAGCGTCGTTACGTTCCTTATTAGCATCAAATCCTTGAGATATGAATCAATAGGATATGATTGATATGGCACAAAGCCCTCTGTTAGCTAAGGTGGATTCAAATTAGTCCCCTTAGACAAACATTCAACCCAGGTCTACAAG